CTTTCCTGTCCTTCTTTGAAAAGCAAGACACTTAACTTTTCATAATTTAAAAATCCTGCCTAACTTCTGGGAGCATTAGAATTCCTAGACTATGACTGAGTGTCAGTGTGCGTCTGCTTTAAATGTCAAGAGAGTCTTTAATAATAACACGTGGAGAATGTTAAGATGGTGACAGAACACAATAAAAAAAAAAAAAAGACCAGGAAATTCTTCGATTGGGGTGAAATGAGCCGTAGATTCTACCACCCAAATGCTGCACTCAGTAATAGAGCAAGGTTCAAAGTTTTCACTAGTGCCAACTTTGGGAGGCTTGTGAGTTACCAGAGATGGATGAAATGGGTCCAGGAATGTTTAGTAGATGTTTGGTCTGATAGGAGAATTTGAGTGGCTGCTGTGGGGGTGGGAGTGGGGGGTGGGTGGGTGGGTGGTCTTTTTCTTTTGATTATATACTTTAGAAAGCAGCATGTTTGGGTCTATCCTAACTAAGTCACTGAACAGAACTCTGCCTAAGGCCAGAGTAAAAAGAAATTATTTGGGATACATACAGTGGCTGGTTAGAGCAGACTCAACCTGTGGGGAGACCATAGTGTTTACTCACCTGATTTTATGTGGACACTGGGGGATCCTTATTATAAAGTGCTTCCTTCTAGAGCTTTCCCTCAGAGGGTTGGTTGGCTTCAACAGGGTTAAGTGAGACCTACAGTTCTGTGGGGATCACCGTCATGGGAATTACCCACTTGCCTAATATAATACGTTGGGTGCCCGTTAAAATGTTCATTCTCACTCCTCATACCTTGGGGTGGGATGGGGTTGAAACCAGGATCTTTGTGTCATAGTCTTCCCTAGCCAACCATCATAAACTAGGATGCTAGTAATACTAGAAATGCTCTTCGCAGCTCCATGACTTCAACCTGGGGGCCTCAGTTTCCCCAACTAAAAAGACAGGAATAGGACCCCCAACTCCTTCATGGCCACAATCATCCCTATTCAGGGAAAGGAATGGCTTGATGCTCCATCTTTTCTTCTGTCCCTAGAAAGTTAGCCTTTGCCACATGGAAAGGCCTTCTTTAATTTCAGTTTTGTTTCTCCTGGGTAAGCACTCCCAGAATGGATGTAAAATGATTAGTCCTCCCAATCACAGGGAGAATAAAGATGTGAAATGAACCCCACGCCCTGTTCCCTCTTCTCTGCTGAAAGAATGAGTTTAATCTCCCACATTTTTATCCCTGAAGAAGCTGAATGGAGCTCCTAGCCTTGGGCAGTCATCACTGCTCCGGAGCAGTGGACGAGTTCAGATTGTCCCAGCCTAGGCATCTGAAGCATAATTTGAAGCCATGGCTAATAGGAGAGGGGATGGCCTATATCAGCCATAGGGGGAATACATTTGCCCAGAATGAGGGGAAGATACAGGAAGAACCAGAGACATAAATCCGTGAGAAGTGGCCTTCGCCTTCACTAAGCTTGCTTCAATCCTCTTCTGTTCTTTAAGACATAGAAACTATTTGTCTTCCCATTTCCTCCACCTGCATTCTCTCCTGAACCCATTAGGTAGATACAGATTCTAAACGCATATTCAGCCAGTCTAGTCTAGACTAGACCGATTTAACTTTAAAAAAAAAAAAGATATTTTTAAACATCCATGAAGCATTAATCGCTTGTTCTGTGCAAAACTTCATCTCTTCAGAGCAACCCTTCAGAGTTCAGAGATAATTATTCCGTATTTAGAAAGGAGAGATGAAATACTTAGGAAGGTTATATAATACGCTCAGTCAAATGCACACCAGGATTTGAACACAGTACACTGTAATTGTTGTATCCATGACCCTCATTACTTCCATTCGGCCATCTTTCCACAAATATAATGCACAAACTTTTTATTAAAATATCCCTTGCTTGAGCAGCAACCTCTAACATAGAGTTCTCTGTAATACTTTTTATTTTTTTAAATGCATAGTTATTCTCTCTCCCGATAGTACAGCTTTTAGAGAACAAATCTCTTTTGATATCACTTTAAAAAAAATTGAAGTTGACCTTTGGACTGAATTTCTCCATCTCTTTTTCTTGGTATTTCATGAAAAATGCAGCATAGGCCAGAATGTGAGGTTACTCATGCTAGTATAAAATGCTTGTATTCTCTTAATGCAGAGTTCTGGCAAAAAAGATGGGGATGATGAGCTCATGGAATGATGGCATTAAAAGTAATAAAGAATGTGGAAGCCTTTTTGAAGGGCCAGCCAGTCTAGCAAATGCAAGACAGCCATTGTAGAAAGTGAATGTGGTTGGGATAGGTGTGGTGGTTTTTGCCTTAAGCATAAACAAGTACATTTGGCAAATATCTTCCTTTATTTGTTGATATCATTCTTATTAAGGCTATCACTGATTAAATACCTAGCACACATCCCAGGATATAGTTTTTGTCGATGTTTTCATTCACCAAACAGAAAAACAAAAGCTGGATTTTTTGCCTTCTTAGGTCACTTTACCCATCTTTGAAGAAACAGAATTAACGTGGTAGAATTGAGGTTCCTTGGACCACTAGTGGGATGATAGATTCTCTGTTCTGGAAGAATATGAACACATTCCCTATGGCTTTACCTTGAGGGTTGCACACATGACTGTGTGTATGAATTCTAGGTGTGTGTGTGTACACACACACACACACACACACACACAGAGTTTCTGTTCTACCTTAGCCTGACTAGTAAGAAGGTTGATTCATTAAATATTAAATGCTTGCATGGAGAGCAAATGCTCATTTTTGATGCTGGACTTTTTTGGGGGGAGGGGGGAGCAGAGCTGGTCCTGGGGCCTGAACTCCGGACCTGTGTGATGTCCCTCAGTTTTACCTGCTCAAGACTAGTTCGCTGCCACTTTAGCCACAGCTTTACTTCTGGCTTCTTTGGATGGTTAATTGGAGATAGTCTCACAGAGTTTCTTGCCTGGTCTGGCTTTGAATCTTGATCCTCAGATCTCAGCCTCCTGAGTAGCTAGGGTTACAGGCGTGAGCCGCTGGTATCTGGCATGATATTGGGCATTTAGATTTTTTGTTGTTGTTGTTAACCCAGCATAGTGTCTGTAATCACTATATCAGCAGCGTTACAACCAATATGTAGCAGACTTCAGTAAATATTGCCTTTTCAGGGTGTCAACTACTTCTTGTTTTTGAAGAGCCACAGTTTTAAAACTCAATGTTTTCAAAAATATTTTAGCGATTCTAATATTTTTAAGGAGAACATGTAACAAACAAAAATGAATTAACAGTAGAAAAATTCCATTTCCAACATTTTAATTGTTCTAACCGAGTCATTTAGGAAAACCAAATTCCTTTAGCATTATGCGTTCAGGGAATCTTTTTATTTTGGCAGTTCAATAACTTAGTAAAGAACAGAGAGCGAATAACATAAAGTAGCTCCTAATATGGCATCATTTTCATTTCCTGTTTGTTGAAAGATAAACGCTAACACTGTAAGGCTTTTTTTTTTTTTCCTTCTCCTTAATTTATTCTTCCCCGAACCACCAGGGGATAAAAAGGAATAAAAAATCAAATGTGATATGGCTCTCAGGCTGAGTCATCGAGAGAGGATAAGCCAAAAACTGCTTCTCTCCCTTTCCTTTTCCTCCATCTTTCCCTAGTTCCTGACTCCTTCCCCCTCAGAAAATAACTTTCTTTAAAAGTTGGAAACACATTCAATTTTAGATTTCAAAAAAAAATACTTTTTTTAAGGATTTAAGTTAAACTGATGCGGAAGCAATGGGTCTCTCCTTCATTCTAAGACTTTGTTGTAGAGAAACGTTCTCTGAAAGCACTGGAATAAAACGGCCTGTACATGCATTCTCTCTTTCCTTCCTTCCTTGTCTTTCCCCTTTCCTCTCTAGTTCCTCTCTCCTTCCCTTTCTCCTCTCTTTCTCCCTCCTCTCTTATCTCTCCCTCCCATCAGTCTCTTGTACATTTTCGATAATGCCACAGCTGCTCCTTTAATGGCATCTTTCTTTAGACCCCTACCTCCAGCTGCCTCCTAATAACAAAGTTGTTTTTGCATTAAAACAGTGCAAAGCACAAGTAGCATCTGACAAGTAATATAGGAGTGTGTACTGTATGTATCTCTGTAGCTCCAGAAAGATAACCGGGTTTTTTTGTTGGGTTGGTTGGTTGGCTGGTTTTTTGTTTTGTTTTGTTGTCATGTGGCTTGAACTCAGGGCCTGAGCACTATCCCCAACCTCAAGGCTAGCACTCTACTACTTTGAGCCACAGCTCCACTTCTGGTTTTCCAGTGGTTAACTGGAGATAAAAGAGTCTCAGAGACTTTCTTACCCAGGCTGGCTTCAAACGGCAATAATCAGATCTCATCCTCCTGTAGCCAGGATTACAGGTGTCAGCTACCAGCACCTGGCAATAACTTTGTTTTTTAAATGTATTTTAAACCTACTGGAATTACTGAGAAAACATACCCTTAGATATGGAGTAAACAAATGAACGGCTCTCTGTTGGTTTACAGATGAGAGCTGGTCAGCCTTCCTAACCCTGCTCTCTCTGCAAGTGTCACCTGCCGGCACCGTGTTCATTTTTGCCTCCCTGTAAAGAAAGATGAAGCTCACTTCCCATCCAGGTGTTTCTTCACCACCACAACTGATAAATTTATGAGTTTTAGCTAGCTAGCTAGCTCATTTTCCTCCAGCCTCTCATGAATAAGGCTGGTTAATGGGCATGATTCACTTTTAGGCTTTGAGCTGCCCGTGTTCCACATGATTCCTTGGTGCCAGCAGGTCTAGAACTTCCCATTTAAAGCCTAATGTGTGGTGTGTTGAGAAATCTCACCCCAACACCTCCAGCTATTGAGAGTTTGGCAGTGGTCCTGTAGATTTCAAAGACGCTTGGGCAATGAAAAATGATTTTGTCATGGGCTATGGTGCCATTGTTTTTGAAATATGTATAATTTTAGATGTTAACATGGTTATGCATCTAGAGTCAAAGAAATGACAGATCCTTTTCTTCCCACTAGCTTGCAAAAGACAAAGAGCGCCTGCAAGCCATGATGACACACCTGCATGTGAAGTCCACAGAACCCAAAGCTGCCCCTCAGCCCGTAAGTACTTGTTTTCAAAACAGGGAAGATAGAAATGAACTTCCAATGGTCTTTTCCTACTTCCCGTGCACATGCGTCTTTCTGGTTCCCTTTTAAGGCCAAGTCAAGATGCTAGTAAGCATGTAAGGAGACACAGGAGGAGGCAGACCTGGTCCTGGTCCATTAGACCCAAGCCATCTGCTCTGGAACAGAGTGATTGGTGCGAAACTAATGGACTCAAAGCCTTTCTACAAACCTACTGGGAAAAGAAACTCTTTCCAAATGCCAGAAACAGGGAGAAAACAGTAGACTGTGATAGCAAAAGAGCCTGGGTCAGCAAAGACAGAGATGTGTGGGAAAGTTACAAGGCATGGTTCTACCTAATCATAACAGAGAAAAGAAATCAGAAAGCACCTTGCACAATTGTTAGAGGCTAAATTATGGGCACCATCAAGTGGTTTCTAAAGACTCTGAAGAGAAAATCACTCACTCATAGCTGCGGGACCAAACATGAGGCACAGAGAAGATGTCTGCTTTAGGAATCTCCTGTTTCTTTTCTTATTCTCTTCTATTGGACCTTGAAGTGGGATACCTCAACTCAGGAACTGATACCAGGGCAGAAGGGAAAGGATCTAAACCCCGCATCCAAACTTGTGCATACTTCCCTACCTTACATCCATATCTACTGCAGCTATATCACTCAGATGCTTAGATCCCTTAAAAAAAAAAAAAAAGTCCTAGTAGCCATAGTTGATTATTCAAAATGGAGACAGTGCTTTGCTTCCTGATTTTAAGATTTGTAAAATTTAAAGGTACACTGCCTTTATTTGATTTTGCTGGGAGTCGCTGTGTGAAAATTAATTGAGCGTTGACAATCTATAGTTAGTACCAGCAATTTTAATCAATATGCAATGATGCAGCATAATGGCAAAGTATTGGTTTATCTGTTTTGACTGATTTTTTTTCTATAAATAAAGCAAACATACACCCATATATGTATGATTTATGATGATAGAAATAAAACGGAGTCAGACTATTAACCCAGCAAATATGGTAGCTTGCCAAGATGCAGTTGGCAGACAAAATTAATGTCTGAAACAGAACACATTACTGAGATATAGGACATAAAATCATTAAACACTTCGCGCATCCATTTTTACTAGGAAAGAGTCCTTAGTTTCCATGTATTTCACAGTAAATGGCTAGAGGACCGGATGGGTTAGGCTACCAGATAGCAAATAGGGAGAAAAACAGAGCCAAGCCATTCAGTGTGGTAGAGCCAGTGAGTAGATGTGTTGCTCTTATTAATTCCTTCTTTCAAGAAGAACACGGGGAAGAACATGAACCCAGCTAAGCAAATTTGTGAGTCCCTGAAATGACTTGGCTGGCTTCTAGAACAAGCTTAGGCAATTCATTGCACAGGGAAGTGTCTGCCTTGGAACTTTCTGAGAGTCTTCAGATAGTTTTAGCGAAACAAAATTTGTTCCCCCAGAATCAAAGCTTTGAAACCCGGTCAAGAAGGAGTAAACAATGAGAAAGTAATAGCTGGACTTAGCATTGTGGTAATGGGCTCATTTTGGATCATGGGATTCCAGGGGCAGAAGAGGGATATATCTAAAGAGATGCAGCTTCAAATACCCATAATGCCCTGAGCAAGTGGTGGGGCTGGATGACTCTATGTATGGGAGTCTGCATGTCCCCTGGAGGGTCATTGGCAATCTCCATGTGACTAGCGCTGAGCCATCCACCAGCATGAAAAAGCAGCTTTTGGTAGGAGATAGAGGGAGGGGGAGAAGGTTTGTCTTGATTAGTAGTGGGGGAAAAAAAGTGTTTTACATTCTAGGAAATTATAACTTTGAAGGGGACCTCCTACTAAATTTATTTTTAACTGCTCTATTGAAAATTCTCTACCACTAGTCAACATTATCTCTTCGTAAGCTCAGCACAGTATTTCTTTATTAAAAGAAATAGGCACGAATATTTTTGACTGAAAAATTAATAGCTTTTGAATTCATACACAGCGGGTTTTCTTTTGCAAAGAAGTCCAATATCACTGCACAGCACTTCTGTAACCATTTATTTAGAGTCCAAGTCAAACCTTTGACAGCTAGAGCAGCTCTACAAGCCGATATAAAGAACTCCAAGATGTAAACCAACAATAGGCCGTCTGTGTGAGGTTTGCCATTGTCAAATACATAGATTGTTTGGATTAGTTTATGTAAATGTACTGTTGTATTACCCTTTAAAAAAAAAAGATCACATTTGTGTATGAAAGTGGTTCTCTTCACAGGCAGCATTATAAATTCCTTCTCCTTTAACTCACATGTAAGAAGTAAAAATTGGGGCCTGACAAGCAGATATTGTGTGACATTCTGTTGTCGGAGTGAACCTGCCTTCTTTTCATTTATTGGAAAATAGAAAATTTTATTATAGATACCATCTTATAAATCAGGAATTATTAAAAATATGTGTAGGTGAGGCATTGGGAAATTAATTATAAAAGATAGATGTGTAATGTTTTGCATGAATTTTCCCTTCCTTGCCGAGAGAGAGAGAGAGAGAGAGAGAAAGACACATACTGAAAACCCTTGATTCTTTCAAATCGAAGGACCCTGAGCTATCTGGTGACTGATCCAAATGTGCAAAATATTTCCTGCAGTCTGTAATTAATTTATTCCACCCTAAATAATAGAATGCCTGGTATAGGTTTGAATGCATAGCCTTCTCGAATCTGTGGTTTGAAACAAGCAGTCACTGTGATTTAATTCTAGCCCTAGATAGGGACCTTCCTGTTTGACTTTTGCCAGTGAGTTTATAAAGTTGTTTCTTCTTTCCATTTCTGTGCAAAAGGAACACTGTGTTTATTTAAGAATTCTTAGTCACTAAGTGATAGAATGCTTGCTGTAAATTTGCCTTTCACTAAATGCCCTTTGGGTGGTAAGTGACTTTTGTTGAATGCAATCATCTAACCCAGCCCTGCTTCGCTGAAGCAAAGCAGCTGCCAACACGTTCTCAGATGTGTTTCTTCCATCAGCTCAGAGATGCGTTTTCTGGATCCCAATGTGGGATCTGGATGGTTAAAGGGTGTGCTCATCTCAGGACAGCACCCCAGGGTGTTGATGGGGATCTGAGCTCTACCCACACTGGGAAGGAAGCTGAAGACTGCTTGGAACACCAGTTCCCAGGCTTCCTGCCCCAACCTCCTTCAGTACCATGTCTTCCTGCTGATCAGCACACTTCCTGCTGGAAGAGTTCGATTGAAAACCGTAGACTCAAAAGTGCAGTTGTGTTTGGAAAGGGAATTTCCGCATGCACAGTCCAACTCTTCTAGCAACAAATATATCTTGGGCAAGGCTACAGACTGAACATAGAGTAGTCAGATGGAAAAGGCTCATTGTTGCCACAAAAATGTCTTGTGAACCAAACTAACAACACAAATTACACATACACATACAGACACACACACACACACACACACACACACACACGCACGCACATGGGAGTATGTGCACTATGCAGTTGTAAGTTGAGCAGGTTCCTGGAATGCTGGAGTCAAGGACAACTTGTCAGACACGTGAAGTCTCATCTGAAACTTAACACACGAGATGGAAAAAGGGAGTGAGCAGCTTTCTGGATCTTCCCTTTGGTAAGCAGTAGATGCACAGACCTCTGTGCCTCCAAGAGAAGAAGATGGTTAATGAGAGTCAGTATGAAAGAACAAAAGGAACCGCTCACCTCACCCCTAAATAAGTTTTTCACACATGTAATAAGACTAGACCTTGCATGGAAATAGGTCTGTGAGCATTTAGGAGAGCAGCCACAGGTAGCAGTTGTGGACATGTTGAACTGAGGGCCTTGGCACTGTCCCTGAGCTTTTTCTCTCAAGGTGAGCGCTCTACCATTTTGAGTCACAGCACCATTTTTGTTTTTTCTGGTGGTTAATTGGATATAAAAGTCTCACAGACTTTCCTGCCCCAGCTGGCTTTGAACTGAGATCCTCAGATCTCAGCCTCCTGAGTTGCTAGGATTACAGGTGTGAGCCACCATCACCTGGCTGGAGAGGCTATTCTTGACACAGGTTCAGAAAAGCCAGACTTGTTGAACTCAAGTTTTATAAGCTTCTCTTTTCCCAAGGAAAGAGAAGCAATGGCATAAAAGAAGAAATCGGTGCTAATGACAATGACTGCTGTTCTGTGGTTCCAGCACTGGTTTGGAGCAGTTTGGATGTTGCATGGTACTCTTTGCTTACTCTAAGAACAGGCTGTTTCCTAGGAGGGAACTCAGAAACGTCAATAGAAAAGAATTGTGTCTGTTACAGCGTTGTGAAGTAGTTAAGGATTTCCTGAAAAAGACTTCACTCTCTGTAATGTCACCAGATCCTATGAGGCTTCTTTTTATGATTTGGAAGAGGAGAGAGGGAGAGGTCTTCTCCATGCTGTGGGGAGTTTCTGCCCTCTGAGATCCACTCGCCCTTCGTAAAGCAACTGCATTCTTTCAGATTTGGTGGATGAAGTAATTACAGAGTAGGTAGTTGAGCCTTCTTTATGAAAATATCATAAAGCACACTTGGAATGGAATATAGCAGTAGACTTTTTTTTTCCTTTTTACACGTTTTTCTTTTACTCACACCATAGCAATTAGGACTGTTTTGCAAGAGCTTTTAGCTACTTATAAAAACAAAGTGCCTCTCTCTAAAATTAAAAAAAAATGGCCTGTTAACTCTTCAAGGAACGGCTGGGTCATGTGGAATGCTGGGGTTTTGCTTTGGAATTGGAGAAAACTATTTCATCGACTTTTTTTCAAGTCCTCCAGCTCACCTCAACTGAAGTGTAGTAGTTTAGACCAGCAATGCAATGGTGGTCTTAGTCTCTAACACAGAGGCCAGGCCCGGCCCAGGAAGCAGGCCTCTGCCACAGGATAGTTAAAGCAGGACTTGAAGGGTTCAGGCCAGCAGAGCAGACAGCAGAGAAACCAGTTCTGTGAGCCTGGGAACCCCTGCTAAGCAGCGCTGGTCTGTCTGT